TTTTAGATGTCATTCGCTTTAGTAGTATTGACTTGATATTTCACAATGCAAGCCATTTATTTCTTTTAGGTAGCCTTGATAGATTATCCTTTTGTCAAGTGTTTTAATAATTTTATGATATTATATTTATAATATTAATATTTTTGTCTAACATGCATTTCATGATTTTTGTAGATATCTTATATTTTTTGTGTACAATAATAAAGTGGCAATGTGCTCTTGAAGAGCCTGCGACATAAAACTTCATGAAACTTCACGAGAGGGATAAGTACCTAAATATAATGAAGCGATGAGATCTCAATAAGTTATATAAGTCACATTGCGAGTCGAGACAAATGATATATTGTCGACGATATTTTTGATACAATATAGCGCAATATTGTAAGAGATTATGAGGATTTGAATTCTACGGTCTATTAAAGCATGATGATGTTGGGGTTTTTATCAAGTGGAATGATGCATCTTGATAGGCATAAAGTTTATTTAACTTGTACTCTAGATATTAGAAGATGTCATGCATTTAATTGAATGTTGTCGACAAAATTGATATGAAAACATCCGAAGAATTCAAAATGGCTAAAACATACACAAGTTTTTGCAAAAACTTGTTTATAATCCTCATATGGATTAAATCAATCAAAAATCTTTTATATGTTATGCAAGTTGATGACTTGAACTGGAACTCTTGAAGAGTTTTCAAAAAGCAATAAATTATTTGCTAAAAGAAGTTGAAATGAGAAATTTGCAAAATAAGATTGGTCCTAAAGTACTATATTTTTTTTCATTTGATATATTTATCTTGTTTTAACAATGAACTTGACATAGTTTTAGTCCTATATGGAGAGATTGAAATATAATCAATTGCAAGTCTTTATATGAGAGTTTGTTTGGCTTAACTTTAAAAAAGTAGTTTTTAAAAAGTCAAACTTTATTAACTTTTAAGTTGAAAAATGAAAAGTAGGAGAGTACCTACTTTTAACTTTTAACTTGTTTTAAGTTATTTTTAATTATTTTAAGTTACTTTTAATTTTGTCAAACACTCCCAAAAGCTAAAATGACTTAAAAGTAGGTTTAGTGCCCGTTTGGATTGACTTATTTTAGGTGCTTTTAAGCCAAAAGAGTTTTTAAGCAGTTTTGAAGTGTTTGAGTAAAGTTAAAAAGTGCTTATAATCACTTATTTTAAAGCCAAAATAATTTTAAAAAGCCAAAAGCCAACCCAAATAGGCCCTTAACCAACTTTTAAATCAATCCAAACAGACTCTAAATGTTTTATCATAATAAATTTTGTCAAGTTTGTGAATGTAAAAGCATTGATTTGATCAACAAAAAGACCCGATCTTAGACATGCCAGATGTTTATATGTGGGGGCACTATCATATATCGACAATATACAAAGCAGTCTATTGTGGCCACTTCATCAAATCATGATGATATAATAATTATTCATGAAGCAAGCGAAAAATGTTGTGGCTGCACCCAATGATACAATCTTATTCAGAAAAAAAATATGACTTGAAATATGACAATATTCACAATTTTATATGAGATAATGCAACACACATAACACAATTGGAAGAAGGATTCATAAAGGGAGATAAAACAATACATGTTTCACAAAAGTTCTTCCACGTACCTGAGCTAAAAAAAATGGTGATATCAATGTGCAACAGATTCATTCAAATCAATTTGACTAATTTATTCACTATATCTCTACCAATTGCAACTTTCAGGAAGATGCATGGTGCACAAGATTGGGATGGAAAGATTCAAATATCTGGATTGATGTTCTCATCAGGAGTTAATATGTGATGTATCTTTTTTTCTCATAAGGTTTTATCCTAATGAGTTTAACTTGTAAGGTTTTTAAAGAGGCATCCAAAATGCGTATTATAATATATTTGTACTTGTTAGGGATGCGTTGGAAGTCATTAATTTAAGTATTTAATTATATTTTTAGTTGCTTTATTTATTATTCTAGAATAGGGTTTAGTTTCAAAGTTTCATAAGGATTAGGTTAAGTTATAGTTATTAGTAAAATAGGATTTAGGTCTCCTACTTTCATAAGAATTAGACTTCCTGTTGATGTAATAAGACTCTTATTTAAAGGGGCTTTTGATGAATAAATCAGTTAGTCATAATTCAACAAAAAGCAAGAGGGATACATTCACCATGTCAGCTGCAACAGGGGGAAATGAAGCTCATCTTTATCTTGTGGCTAAGGCGTCAAGGTGGAGGAGTTACAGGGGCGGCGAATGAGACAAGGAGAAAATTTTTAGACATTTCTTGAAGAGTGTCTGAGAGCTGCTTTTTGCTTTTGTTTGTAATTGTTGGGTCGGGTCAATTTTGGACCTGATTTGGATTATTTGGCTTTTGTTTGATTATATAATAAAATGGTCCATAGGGCTAAAAATTTAACTAAAACAAAAAGCAAGAGATCAAAGTTCTCTCTTCCATTGAACTCTAAAGTTTCAGTCTCCCTTTGAAGAGCTGAAGAGATCAGAATTCTCTCTTTTAATGAATTCTAAGGTTTCAACCTCCCTTTAATGAGTTGATTTATATGTCGCCCTGTGAATCGATCATTCCCTAAAGATCCATAACAATTTGGTATCAGAGCCTAACACAATGGGCGATGAGATCAGTTCTCGATTTCAAGGAAAACATACCATTACAGAAACCCCAATGGACTCTAAAATTGCAGCAATGGAACAACGCCTCATCGAAAGAATTGTCCAAGTCATCCAAGAACACTTGTCTAGATTGGGAATTGACTCTACAAAATCAGCAACCCACAAACCTGAGTCAAATAGTGCCCAAACAACTAGCAGATCAACAATTCTTGCTACAAAAGGCAATACACCACCTACTTATAACGACACCAATAATCCCTTAATTCAGGCACATCATTTTTTTTTACCCTCCCTAGGAGCTCCCACCCCTTTTTGCTCCTTTGGTGACTCAAACTCGCAACCTTCGGGTTAGAAGTAAGGGGCGCTTACCATCCGAGTAACTCTCTCTCGTCATTGAGGCACATCATTGTGAACATTTTTTTTTTGAAAAATAAAATCAGCGATTTGGACCTCATGAAAGCAAAAAATATTGTTGTAGCTAGATTTCACATATTCGAACTAGCACCATTATGGTATTATCAACTTAAACGAGCGAAAGGCTCAATGAGTTGGGAAGAATATCAGCGATTTGGACCTCATGAAAGTACCAACCTGATGGGCAAATTAGTCTTGCTTCAACAAACAGATAGAGTTGAAATTTATCAATGTCAACTTCAAGCTAGGGTTGGAATTGGATATGTTGATACTGATCCAGATTTTCTGGAGGATTGCCCCGAAACTTGAGCTTGAGGACAAGCTCTTTCAACGTGAGGGGAGTAATGTTAGGGATGCGTTGGAAGTCATTAACTTAAGTATTTAATTATATTTTTAGTTGCATTATTTATTTTTCTAGAATAGGGTTTAGTTTCAGAATTTCATAAGGATTAGATTAAGTTATAACTATTAGTTTGGAATAGGATTTAAGTCTCCTACTTTCATAAGAATTAGACTTCCTATTGATGTAATAAGACTCTTATTTAAAGGGGCTTTTGATGAATAAATCAGTAAGTCATAATTCAACAAAAAGCAAGAGATCAAAGTTCTTTCTTCCATTGAACTCTAAGGTTTCAGTTTCCCTTGAAGAGCTGAAGAGATCAAAGTTCTCTCTTTTAATGAATTCTAAGGTTTCAACCTCCCTTTAATGAGTTGATTTATATATCGTTCTGTGAATCGATCCTTCCCTAAAGATCCATAACAGTACTCTTTTCCCTTGACTACAATTTTTTCCACTAGATTCTTTCTAGTAAAATTTTAACGAGCCACATAATCTATCAAATAGACATTCAAGGGAGAATGTTATAAGCATATTTGTATTATCGTGAATGTCTACTATGTAGATTCCTTTGAAGAAAAGCTAGGAACCCTTACTTTGGGATCAAGTTAGTATTCCTCTATAAATAAAAGGGATTTCCTAATTATAAAGAATCTCACAAACTCTAATCCTTGAAGAGAAATAAAAAGTCTTTTCAGAATAATTTTCTATATCTGAGGAAGAATAAGATATTTATAGACAACAAGAACTGCTTCAAAAAATAAGAAAATATTCAGAAAAGTTATACTAGTTCGAAAGCGGCGAGGCCAAGTGCAGTCTGCACAAGAATGACAATTCAAAAACCGAAAGTTTAAAGTTTACACTATTTGGATTGTGTGGTCCACACATGCCCAAGTGCGGCTCTAAGAAATATCATACACCAACATTCTAACATTCTTCAATTCCTCCCAAAGGTCTAATTCATGTAGTCGATTAACATAAAGCATTGAAGTCGCGCCAAGAAAAGATAGAGAAAGAAGAAAGGAAGAACAACGAGAACATGACTAGCAACATAAACAAAGACACCCATAAAGAAAGATCAGACGTCATATATAATCAGCTAGGTAGGAACAAAATCTAAAGACAGATAAACAACAAACTCAAAACACACAATGCGGTACTGATAAATGGAAAGAACAAGTGTAGATCCCACTTAATTATATTAAATGGCAGACAATTGAACAAGTATGGAGGACTCTAATGCTTTAGCTAGCAACGGGGAGGATGGGAGAGTTTGCACTGTTTAGGGAGCTTCATGGCAGGCATGTTTTGGATCAATTTCCAGGGAAGGTACCAATTGGAATTCTTGTAAGAGCAAAAGCAGCTCATGTAAGCGTGGTGCAGCATCTGGCTGTAGGCAACGGTGGAGTCACTTGATGGTTTGCATGCCATTTAACCTTCCCCATTCATCTTACATATTCCTTGAGCCCATAGCAAAAACTATAGGAGTCACACCTCTCCTCTGATCAAGCATAGAGCTGAAAGAGTAATAGTAATAAATAGACAAAAAACCGACTGCTAAATAAAATTGAGCTACAATTTTGACTCAAAAGAAACAGAAATGGTTCAGATGTCACAAAACCCCATACAATAAAATAGTTTGGGCGATCATACCATGCATATCAGAGACCGCCTCAAAGAAGACAATTAAAAAATAACCTAGAAACGGAATCATAGTTGTTAAAGGGCCTATCAAGTTCTTCATGCATACCACTGAGTAACAGTTGCAAACAAGATCTAGTTTAACAGAACTTCCAGCGATTATCACAGTTAACACATGTGACATATGTTGTCATTGGTTCATCAGCACTCCGAGTTTGCATCTGGTAGTAAGTGGTCTGACTTTTCCCACACCTACCACACTTAAACTTATCTGTGCTGGCCTTTGGAGGACCTCCAAGCTGGCTATTAAATAATGCTTTTTCTTTGATCTTCTTATTCTCCTTTTGCCTTTCATCACTCGCCATTTCTTCTGGGCTCAAATCAACAATACTGTGAGGTGAATACTGTCCTGTAAGGACTTTCCTCCGGAAATCTGGATTGTTTGGATCCTTGATGTTAAACATTATTGACCTATACTTAAACTTCTGGGAGCCACTAGATTTACCCCACTTCTCAAACATAGCAGTCTCAACCTGAACTGCAACTCTATAAGGATCAGAACCATTCACAGCATCCCTCAAATCATCGTCATCAACTTCAACCGAGACTTTGCAAAGAGCCTCAGAAAGGAGCTCCCGAACTTTGTCTCTCACAGGATCCTTGCAATAAACAAGAGCAGACAACTTTGGTGGGGCAGCACTAGCCACATGAGATCTCAATTTCTCATCCTTGGGTTTCTTCTCAATCTTAACACTTTTGGAACTTGTATTCTCAGTCTTCATAACAGAAACATTCTCAGACTTTACGTCAGAGAAGGAACTTTCTGCCTTCACTGCTCTCTCAGATTTTTGAGTCAGAGACTTACTTGACCTCTCAACTGTCACATTCTCAACCCTTGACACCTTTTCAACCTTCACTGAGTTCACACGCTGAAATTTATTGCCTTCATCACCATCATCGCCAGCACATTCAGCTTTTACAGATTCCCCATTTACTTCATTGCCGTTCTTATTTTTCATTGTCTCTCTCACAATTATAGTCTTCCAGTTCTTCACTACATCAGAAGCCAACACCTGGATCTTCTCCCTCGGATGTTTTGTCAATGTTCGGAGGCGTTTGCCCACCTGAAACATTATTCATTATGTCAATTACAGAAAAAGGATCCATTAGCAGATGAGCACCTCCAAGAGGACAATAAGCGTAAGAAAGAAACAATAACAGGTAATAACACCAGTTCATGAAATTCCTGAATCAATCTCTGGGAAAGCCCTGAGAGAATGAAACCACACTAGCTAAAATACATGAACTCACAATACTGACCCATGTTTTTTTTCCAAAAGAAGAGAGAAAAGAGAAAGAGATAATAGTAGTACTACTAGTAACAACCAACAACAATAATCGCGTGAATAGTGTGAACTTACAATACTGACCCATGATTCTTTTCCAAAAGAAGAATGAAAGTAAATAGGTCTCGCACAACAAAAATAGAAAAGGAATCATCACAAAGAAGAAAAGAGTCATTGGAAACCATGGTGGAAGAAGAAGATAACAAAAAGGAAACTGAAACATGCTTTTGGAGGAGTCCTGAGAATCGTATAGCAAAATGTCCATATATTATCTCCTTTTGACCTTTTTTCTTTTTCACCCTTCACATTTAACTTCTGAAAATTAACAGCTTTCCTTTGAATTTTGTTGTGAATATAATTAAGTAAAGAAAAGTGTGCTCTCTCTAACAACTTACGCTTCAAGATAAGATGAAACTACTAAGAATGGGTCAAAAACCAAGGACCAAAACTGACGAACACCCTTTTTTTTTTACTACTAAAACCGACCCAAAACCACGAACTCGATAACGTCGGAAAATGGTGGTTCGCTATACGGAAACTAGCTGACTGCTTCGATTAAAACAAAGGCACTAAGACCTCATTTGTCTTCATTAAGATTAAAACGTCTGAATTTCAATGATTAAAATATTGTAGGTAGATCTGAACACTGAATGATTAAGATTGTTTGTTTTCTAAGCATTTGAATATATTGAATTAAAAAATTTATTAAGTATTAACAATACAACAACAACAATAACATACCCAATATAATCCCACAAAATAAAATTTAAACAATATAGTAATTAATATTCTATCAATCATAAGTTTTAAATCCACAAATTTTAAAAACTATTGAGATTTTTAACTGGATATATAGATTGTACTTTTTTTTTTTGAACATTTAGATTGTACTTTTTTTTTTACAGACACAAAATTAATTAATTTCCTCTAATAAAAATACAAGCAGCAAGAAAGATAGTTATACCTTAGTCTTAAAATGAGACAAAAACATACTACATAGCTTATATAGAAATGCAGCTATGAAATCCCACAATCTATTTGGATAATAATTAAAAAGAAATCAATACGTCATATTTAATTCAACCTAGCAATTAATGCACTTAATGAGCTGCCGAAGAGCGCTAAATGGGTTTCAGATTTCATTTCAAATCTGCCCAATTCAGATGTTTCAAGACCCAATAAGTGGTAGAATTTTAAGAAAAACAAATGTACTTAATGAGCTATCATCCGAATAATTCAGATTCAATGAGACCTAAGGGGGGTCTGTCGGTTTTTAAGAAATATATATTTAAAAAAATGTAGTAACTTGGAATCGAACCCAAGTATTTACCATGATATTGAACAATTCTACCACTAGACCACACATACTCAATGATGGAATACTTCCGTTGTTTTCTTTTATTTACTCATCAATTGCAGTTTTGCATTTCAAAAAGTGGCAAAATTGATCAGTTTTCAAATTAAAAAAAAAATAGTATTTGTGCATTTTTGGATGGATGTCTGTCGGTTTTTCTTAAAGAAAAACAAAAAAATTATAGTTTCCGAGGAATTCAGCGTGAAAAATAATAGACGAACATCCTTTGATTTTCTTTTTTAAAAAGCCATTGAAAAACCAGCAGACTCCATCTGTTTTTACTAATTTTTAGTAGTTAAGTCACACACTTCAAGTTGGCATTACACGCAGAGGTCATCTATTATCAAAAAGAATTTGCACATGCTTAGCCCAAGAAAAAAGAATTAGGCCCACACATGAAGGAGCATGTTGAAAATATAATTAAGCAAAAGTGTGCACTCTCTATCCTCTTCAGCTAAATGAGATGATCACATACTTCTACAAAATTTTACTTATTCATCTATACGTTAGAATCGCGTGCTTCTTTGAAATCCCATCACTTCTACTTCCCTTTTCATAATTGACAAAACCTCTATTTAATCATGTAAAAAGTAGTATCTGCATATGCAAGGAATTTAGAAATTGAGGTTCAATTGCTTTTTTATTCTCTAGTTCTGATTTCTGATCACATGATTCAAAAATGGTAGTAAAAGCAAAAGTTGTTTTTGATATGATCACTTGATTAGCTCCAAGGATAAAACCTTATCCAGACCAAAAAAGAGACTAAGGATAAAGTTAGCTACTTCATACAAAGAAAAAAAAAGATAAATTTTTGCGGCCTGATTAATTCATTGTGATTGTCTGCAATGATCATTAAGACTCGTGATTTCTACGAAATATGATGCCAGGGCCATTATGTTATTTTAGCATGCTAGATAGGCTAGCTGTGTTTTGATTTAAGAAAGGGGTGCAGAAAGAAAGCAGATAGTTGTGAGTTGTGATCCTTTTTTTAGACCAAGAGAATATCCATTACTATTTGCTTCCTGAATGGTAGTTCTTCCACTATTGAATGTAAAAGGCATCAACTTGTATACTGCTACAGTACTAGTCAAAGTTCATAAAGTGGGATCGCTTTAACTTAAGGAGTGATGACCCCTTGCTTAAAATTGCTTTGTTGCTTAAAAGTGATAGGTATCATTTAATTCCTGATCTGGAATAATTACTAATAATGGCTTCTATGTGATGGGCCAATTGATCCTAATTTGAAGGGACAGTAATCCCAATATTACAATTCCATAACCTTCCAATTATGGTATATCACATTTTTAGATAATAACCCAGAATCCACTTTAGTGAAGCTAAAAAGCATATCAAACGGGGGAACAAATCCTCTTCTTTAAATAAGGAAAAAATTCATTTTCTTTCAAAGAAGAAGCACAATTGTTATCAAAAGCAATTTGTAACTTAGAAGTGACTTAATGGTGTAAGGCTAGGGGCTATCACTTAACATCAGAAACAAAGTGTTGTCATGTACAGAGCTTTATTCCAAAGAAAAACACATAGAGATTCCCCTTAAGTATTTCAATTTATTTTTGCAAAATAAAAAGGAAAAGAATTCCAGGAACTGGAACTAGGCAAAATCCAAGCTTTTCAAGAGCAAGTAAACGGAATTAGCAAATGTGTGGATGCTAAAACTGAAAAGCGGGAGATTGTATATTATAATATCAAGGTGACGAAGAAAATGAGGATATCTTTGAATACCTGTGTGGAAACAAGGACTTGATAATTGACAGGAAATCTCTTGAGCCGCTTCAAAGCGTCAAGGCACCTATCCTCCTCCGGTGAGGAATCTGCATCGCCGTCAACAGCGGCTGCATCAGCCGATCTTTTTACCGCATCGAACAGCTCGATTAGCTCCTTCTCCATATCTACTGACTAAGAACAATCGGATCTTCAAGCAAGAAAAACAACAAACATTCTAAAGCGCACAAATCGAGCAGGTGAAAGTCTTCGGCGTTTCTTCAAATGATGAAACCCTAGAGTTTAGATGTGGGGGAGATTAGTCGTTACGACTGAGGCGGGGATGAGCTAATCGAGGTTGTTGCGGCACGTGTGCGGCGATCGGACGGTAGAGAAGGGCACACTGGATATCAAGATCCAAAGACGTGAGATCGGCGACTGGTTATAATTAGATAATCTGAATTCTTTGTTGTTTTTTTTTTCCAAAAAGAGTTTACCGTATAATATGATATTTTAACAATAGTTGAAGTATGGTGGATTAAGTATAGTAGTATTCTTTTCTTTCTAGAGAAAGAGAAAATTAAATAAATATATACGTAAGACCTAAGGACCAAAACTAAATGGCTGTTTGCATATTTGAAGAATCCAACAAGGATTCAAATGGCTACAGAAGGTCGAGCAAACCTTTGCCTCTTTTGGGATGATGCTTTGCAAGGTAAACGAGCAAACAACATGCCCGTGCGAGTTAACTGATCCAACCCTAGTTAGCTCACATGCATGTAAATGATGCAAGAATGAAGTCGGAAGCTGGGTAAGCTAGTACTGAGTGCTTGAGGGGTTGCACCTAGCCGTTAAGTTGGTTAGGATTTCAATTGAGAAGAATAGTTTCATATTGTCAGTTTAGTCCAATAGGTTTTAAAAGTCATTTTATGTTATTGTCAAAATTGCCCTTAATGTTTGAGTGATTGGACACTTTAGGTCCAATGCTGGGCAATTACTTTTCGTACTATCACCAAGGAGTGTCTTGGCTATTTAAGCATTGTAATAGTTCTTTTTGCAGCTATGAAAAGAATTGTTTAGCTAAATAGAGAATAGCTTGTCCTTTACTCTTTTTCCTTTTCTCTTTCTTTCCTTTTCTTAGTTCTTACTGTTATTTACTGTTTCATTACTCTTCTTTATCTTAGTTGCATCATTTGGTATCAGAGCACTTTCTTGAGCTCTGTGGATACACAAAAATGGCGAATGAGGTAAGGGATATCAAAGAGATGCTTGACAGAATGATAGTGGAGTTAGCCAACTTCTCTGTCAGGCAGAACCAAATAGAGGAACAACATGAGAAGTCTTTTGCTGAGCTGAAGGAAGCCTTGGATGCTGTAAAGAAAAATGACAAGGGAAAGAACCATGAAGAGGCTGAGGGAGCTGGTGAGATCTACACTCCTTCTGGCCAACCCATGGCGTGGGTCTCAACATCTCAAACAGGAGGAGCTCCAACCATGGTTACCCCTGGTGGTTATCAACTGGGAATGAGGCCTTTACCTCAGTTCTAGTCACCATTAGGGGGGTCTATGCATCATACTCCTGTTATGGGAGGTGGACCTGCAGGACACATGGGGGCTGGAAGCTCAACTCACTTTCAGATGCACACTGGAGGCCAAACACAGATGCCATATGGAGGGTTCCAAGGCCATCCAACCATGGGAATCCCTGGAGGAGAAGGAGCTCAACCTCCTGCCCATGGTCACTTCTTCAACTCCATGTCCAGGTTGTCCAAAAAAGAGTTTCCCAGGTTTAATGGAGTAGATCTCAGGTCGTGGATCTACAAGGTAGATCAGTTTTTTTCCTTGGATGAAATACCTCTACATCAAAAGGTAAGAGTGGCTTCCTTACACTTTGATGGTCTAGCCATAGAGTGGCACTTAGCATACATAAGGAGTAGGCAACACTTGCCTTATCCTACGTGGGATGAATACATGTTTGCTCTCATGGACATATTTGGAACTGAGTTTGAAGATCGTATGGCTGAATTGAAGCTGGTCAAACAAACTGGATCAGTTAAAGACTATCAGAATGAGTTCGATAAAATCATGACCAGGCTTACAATCTTGCCAGAATATGCCATTAGTGGGTTCATTACTGGACTCAAGCCGGAGATAGGCTATACTGTCAAGAACCACAAACCATTTTCACTTCCTCAAGCCTACCAGCTAGCTAGAAACACTGAAGCTCATGTTAATGCCCAGCTTAAGATAGCTAGACCATCCTCATTTGTTGGTGGTTCTCAATATAGAGGGAGTTCATACAACTCTTCTCTTAAGGGAACTGGTTCCAAAAGAGATTTTGGGCAGGGTAAGAGGGAAGTTTCTCTAAATCTTAACAGGAACACTAACAGAAGACTGACCTCTGCTGAGATGAATGAGAGGAGACAAAAGGGGTTGTGCTTTTTCTGTGAGAAGAAATTCTTCCCTGGGCACAAGTGTGGGGGGTCCAAATCTTTGTATTTGTTGGAAGTGGAGGAAGAAGAAGAAACTAGTGAAGAGGAAGTGGTGGATATAGCTGTCCCTCAGCTAGGAAAGGAGGAAGAGCCAGGGGAGGTTTGTGATATTTCAGTCTATGCTCTACATGGCATTCCCACTTTTCACACTCTAAGAGTGGAAGGGTATTGCCAACAGAGACCTTTGTACATATTGATTGATCCAGGGAGTTCACACAACTTTATGTATGAAGGACTTGCGAGGGAACTCCGAGGAAACATTCAAGCTGTCAGAACTCATGCTATCAATGTGGCTGATGGGCATGATAGGCAAACCAAGGAGCTGTGTAAAGCATTTTCATGGATGATGGAGAAACTGACTTACACAGATGATTTCTTACTGATACCTCTCAGATTTTGTGACATGATCTTAGGGGTACAATGGTTGCTTCCTTTGGGAGATATTAAGTTGAACTTTCAAGAGTTAACTATAGTTACCAAGGGCATGAATGTGTGTTGAAAGGTCATGTGGACAAGGTGAGAACTGTGGAAGCCAAAAGGTTGGAAAAAATGGCAAACGGGGGTGCCCAGTTGTTCATGATCAGAGTAGTGCTATTGGAGGAAAAGGGGAACTCGGGAGTAACCACACCCAAGGAAATTGTGTTCCTTACTCGAGAGTATCCTCAGTTGTTTGCTGAGCCAAAGGGATTACCCCCTTCAAGAGGGCCATTTAATCACAAAATACCACTAGAGGTAGGAAGCAACCCTGTGAACTTGAGGCCATATAGATACTCATCTTTACAGAAGGATGTAATTGAGAAGTTGATAAGAGACATGCTGGAGCAAGGCATTGTGCAGCCAAGCTGTAGTCCTTATGCTTCACCCGTGGTTCTGGTTGGCAAAAAAGATGGGAGTTGGAGGTTATGTGTGGACTATAGGGGCCTCAACAAGGTGACAATTAAAGACAAATTTCCTATTCCCATCATAGAAGAGCTATTAGAGGAATTGGGAGGTTCAAAGATCTACTCTAAAATAGATCTTAGAGCAGGTTATCATCAGATCAGGATGGCCAATGAAGATATTGTCAAAACAGCTTTTAGAACACATGAAGGTCACTATGAGTATTTAGTGATGCCATTTGGGTTGTCCAATGCTCCATCATTTTTTCAAAGTCTAATGAATCATGTCTTCAGAGAGCATTTAAGAAAGTTCATATTGGTATTTTTTGATGACATTTTGGTGTTCAGTCAGAATTTATCTGAACACTTAGTTCATCTTAAAACAACATGTGACTTGTTAATGAAGCACAAGCTCTGTGTGAGACAAGCCAAGTGTTCATTTGGGGCTAGTAGAGTTGAATACTTAGGGCATGTGATATCTGCTGATAGGGTATCTACTGATCCTAAGAAAATTGTTGCAGTTAAGGAATGGCCTAAACCCAAGAATGTGAAGGAGCTAAGGGGGTTCTTGGGATTAGCAGGGTATTACAGGAGGTTCATCAAGCATTATGGGATAATCAGCAAGCCACTAACTGATTTATTAAAGAAGGATGGGTTTCAATGGTCTGAAATGGCCACTCAGGCCATGGAGGAACTGAAGGAAGCACTGACTTCAGCTCCTGTCCTTGCCTTACCTAATAATTGTGTTGTTTTTGTTGTAGAAACAGATGCTTGTGACTATGGAATTGGAGTTGTCTTAATGCAAGAGGGCCACCCTATTGCTTACCTCAGCAAGGGTCTTTCCATGAGACATGAAGGGTTGTCTGTGTATGACAAAGAGTTATTGGCTCTAGTTCTAGCTGTTACTAAATGGGCTCAATATTTGATGGGCAAGAAGTTCATTGTGAGGACTGATCAAAAGGCGCTGAAGTTTTTATTAGATCAAAAACTTTATACAGGTTCTCAAATGAAATGGATCGCCAAGCTAATGCAATTCCACTTTGAAATAGAGTACAAAAAAGGGAGGGAGAACAAGGCTGCAGATTCTTTGTCCAGAGTACTAACGGGAGAGGTAGCATCAATGATGTTAATTAATGGGGTCAATGAGCTGTTCGAAAAGATCAAAAATAGCTGGGAGAGGGATCCTCTTACCAAAGCCATTCTGGCCAAGGTAGTATCACAGGAAGAAGGGCACAAGGAATTCACATTTGTGAATGAACAACTAAGGAGGAAGGGTAAGTTGGTAGTAGGGAATGAACCAACTTTGAAGAAGGAGATCCTCCTCATCTGGCATGAAACACCTGTGGGAGGGCACTCAGGAATTGAGAACACTTACAAAAGGATCTCAAACCTTTTTTACTGGAAGGGACTGAAGGAAGATGTAACTATGTTTGTGAGGCAGTGTGCAACTTATCAGAGGAGCAAATATGATAGTGCTGCTTATCCAGGCCTTCTCCAACCACTACAAATACCATTTGTTGCTTGGGGTAGCATAAGCATGGACTTCATAGATGGGCTGCCAAGGTCTAAGGGCAAGACAACTATACTAGTTGTTGTTGATAGACTTACAAAGTATGGGCACTTCCTCAGCATTAGCCATCCTTACACAGCCACTTCTGTCGCTCAACTGTACTTGGATCAAGTTTATAAACTCCATGGAATGCCTAAAAACATCATCAGTGAAAGGGACCCTATATTCATGAGCAAAGTCTGGCAGGAACTATTTGCAATGCAAGGGGTTACATTGAGCACATCTACTGCTTATCATCCTCAAACAGATGGCCAAACAGAAGTACTCAATAGAACCCTTGAGACATATTTGAGGTGTTTTTGTGCTGATAGTCAGAAGGATTGGGCCAGCTATTTGTCCCTGGCAGAATGGTGGTATAACACCACCTTCCACTCAGCAATCCAAACAACTCCTTTTGAGGCTCTTTATGGACAACCACCACCTCTCCATATTCCTTACGTTCCTGGGGACTCTGCAGAGGAGGAGGTGGATATAAGTTTGATAACTAGAGAGTTTAAGGTCGAGTTGCTCAAATTCCACATAGCTAGAGC